GTCTTGATGTCTTGCATGTCGTTCTAAAAACCTTTTAAACGTTAACTTGTTCATAATATCAATACATTAAAAATGTAGACCAATTGATTGCAACACCTGCCTAAGATACAAGATCAATTTTTCATTCCTCATGACATGCGTTCTTCAAAGCTAATTACAAGTTTTGGAGACTTTGTAATCTCTTTGTTTCAAAATTTTCAATGCTGAAAAAATATTCTTTGAATTTGATCAATATATTTTTTCCATTCATTTCATATTTATTTGAATCAAATCAAATTCTAATCCAACCTTCGTTAGTCAACGTAACATTGTGTTGCTGCATGCTTTGTGTGAATACTAACCTACTTAATCCGTAGCCACATCAATGTCCACAAAAGCATAACTTGATCATTCTGTACTCTTTGAACATACGCTTCTGCACACCCACTTCATGCAAGGAATGCAGATGATGCACAAGATTATCACAGTTTTGTAATGCGTTGGCAAAACTTGTAACCAAGTTATAACTTCCAATCAGTACTTCCATTGTGGTCTACAGCATATAGTTACAAGCGCTTTATTTAAAACTTGGTGCCATTGTGCCGTCAGTGGGTTTTCATAAAAAAACGATACATGATGGATCCTAGTAAGCTATGTATGTTAATCACGCTTTACATCAAGTTATATTTTCAACAAAGTACCGGTGTTTGTGTTCTTGTGTACTCAAAGTTTTCTACTGAAAGTTTGCAACAAAACATATATTCATGTCATTCAAAGTATATTGTATAAAAAATAAGTTGATATTAGACTAAAATGCATTTGACAATCAAAATTTTTAGAAATATCCTTGGATCAAGGCTATGTTACAAATCATTTATATCACAAAACACAATATACAACAAAACAACGTTGACAATCTTTTGCAAATCTTTTTCTAACCTCTTGTCATGAATATTACCTTGGCAATCTAGCCAATGGTATAATTTGAATCATTCTAAAATGAATATATATATATATATAAATAACTGTGGCAATATAATGTATAAAAACACAAAAAATTAGAAAAAAATTGTGTTTATATTTCCTATAATAGAAGAAATGAATAATGTGTTTAATAGATTTTCACATTGATATTCACATGCAAGGCCAAAAATAAAGAAAAGTTCTAAAAATTCCTAGTTGAAGTAAATGATATTCTTTTAAAAAAAATTAGAGGGTTTTTTAAATTTTTTTGTACAAACAAAAAATTATTTGAACAAAAATACAATTAAATAGCAAATTTTTTTGCCTATTTGAGTATGAACTGATGTATTAAATGTAAATCTAATGTGAAAGAGTTGATGCAAAGAACAAGCCCGTTCAATAAATGAATAGATAATCACTTTATATTTTTTCAACATCTCATATTTTAACTTTTATTATTGAAAATAAAGTTTACATTTCTTTGAAAAATTTCTATTGTACAAGTCATAAATGTTTCTTAAAAACATATGATATTTTTGTGTCTTCTTTTAGAACATCATTTGAAACAGGAATAAATATATTATTATTAAATAAAATTATAATTTAGCTGATTTATTTATAATATAATTTGTAGCATGAAGATGTATCTCGTATATTTTCAATGATATGCATGTGGATAATTCAGTTTTGCTGAATAACGATATTTGAATTCAATTTCATCGCAACATCATACCATTTAAAATTAATTTTTGGTTAATTTTGTGATCATTATTATTTTATTAACATATATTTTTTAAAAATATAGAATTTTCAAATTTAAACGCAATTACATAATAATAGCTATCTTTAATTGAAAGAAATTGGTTTATGGATTTTTGATTGAAGGCAAGGAAATAAGCTCTAAGGAATGATCAAAGTAGTTTGAATACCCTTCACATTCAAAAATAGCTTTTCAATTGTATCTAGTCATGAGTATAGTAACAATCAAAAAATTTAAAATATTTCTTTAAGGCATTTGATATTTTTTTTAATACTTGATGGCAACGATTGTAAATTGACATATATGTAAGAAATATTTAAGTCTGTAGATAATATTTCTGATATGTACTTAAACAAACTACGATATCAGACGGATTAATTATTTGATGTGACAACTTAAAATCGAAGAATATGGAAAAAGATACAATGATTTTTGTGTACATGATCATCATTGCAAGTTATTTCACAAAGATACTTTAGTGATAATCGGTTTTGAGATTATCGTTTTTATCACTAAAATTTATCATATTTAAAGATGGGTTTTGTTAATTTGTATGCAGAATTTGACAACATTATGAACACAATAAATTATGGATTAAAATTTAATCTTCATCAATAAAGTTTATATATTTCATTGTGATAGCTCATAAACTTTGGAAATTTGGTTGTAGTTAAAAAATGATAATTTGTATAATAAATTTTTTTATGATATTCTTTTGTAAAATTTTTATTTGAGTTTCGTCCATCCCTCTGTCATAAGTAGTATCGGCGGCCGAAGGGGTCTCTCGGGTGGTGACAGTGGCCTCCGGTTCGTGTGTTGCGGACCCGTGATCCTCAAGCGGAGGCCTGGTGTTTACTGTTTATCAATGTCAATAAATGTGACGGATTCCGGAAAAAACAAAAGAAGAAGAAGAATGAAATCTGGTTGGCGGCGCTGCTGGAAGTGTGTCTGGAGGAACGGCCGGTTGCTCTGAATTGACCTCGGCCTATGGCCCCTGCTTTCTATCCGCTTATCTCTCCAGTGCCATGCCATGGCACGGCAGGATAGCATTAATTCGGAGCGAAGCATGAAGCATTTCATGCAGCGGCACAGCCGTGTTTGCATGACATCCCCCAGGCTCCCTCATCCTCATTTGAAGCTCAGACCTTCTTTCGGTCTGAGGAATTATGGTTTTCGCGAGCAAGAAACCCGATTCATAACTAAATGTTCTCTTGTGTATAAACTCCGAACTACAAGACATGTGGTTTGTGATGATGATTGAAGATTTGTATGATCCCTGACATAAATTTCAGTCAGGTTTGGAGCCTCCGGCATAATGGCAGATGCCAAGCATGGCTTATCTATTGTCACCTTTCTGGTTGTATTGGTGACCTTCCACATGTCTCCTTTCCCATTGACATGCTCGTGGACCACAGTCATGGAGGTCATTCATTATAGATGAGGGAAAAGAGGGAAAGTTGTAAATATGAGTCGAGATGCATGGAATAGAGGTAAACAGTATAGATTATGGAGATACAATGAGATCAGATGAGAAACAGGATCAGAGATCATCAAGGCAGGCTCAACCTAAAAGCCTGATCACCAAAAAATGATCGGTGGCAAGGACGAGGTCAAACTGATGAAGAATGTCTATCAGTGATCTGTTCAGGTCAAACCAAACGTCTGTTGAAAAGAACAGACTAAGAATTATAAAGCTGAATAAGATGTCAATCAATAAGAAGCGTGTCGTTTGGCAGTGAGTGAGCTCGACTCCTAGCCTTATGATGACAAAGTTATTATATATTTCAGAAAAAAAGAGACATTAAAGTGAGTTTCAGTTCGAGGTAAGGACTCATGAAGTAAATTCAAAACGGAGATACCCGTGTGTGAACGTATATGAGGAATATCCGAAGGCTTCTTTGGAGTTGTTTCTCCCACTTCTCTTAAAGACCAAACATATTTTATTTTAAAATTGTTTTCTAAGAGACGGATAGTGAATTGAGCGCTATAATTTATTGAGTTGAAACCGCCCAGCGATTCATTTCATGTCCGGATACAAATGTCTTGGGTCAGATACAAGACGAAAAGCCTAGAGAAACACTGCTGGACCAGATTAACATTGAGTCGTAGTCATGTTCAAATCCAACTCGTGTTCGAGCTTAAAGTCAGACAAAAGATGCGCAGTTCACCGGTGTGACGACTCGACGTACTGTGGAGCGTATTGTATACGAAGTACGGTGATTCCGAAATCGTATGTTGAGCTATTTCTACATCCTTCAATCACAAGCCTTCTGACGCACATCCACTTTTGACCATTCCGTATGCCTGCCAACCTCGAGTACATCACAGAAACGGAAGTCATGACTGGATGGACAGAAATCATGCATGGTTTGGTCCCAACTGTGGGTGATACACCCAGAATTTTCCTACAAGGCCTCGCCTTTCTAGCCGCTTCGTACTATGATGGAGAGAACACAAGACGACCGCTAGTTGAATTTGCAGTGTCCTTTGGACGTCCAAAGAATACGAACCACTGAAACCTCTGAATACAAGATCGACGTCCTGCGCATTAGTCTGCAGTGTCATGGAGTGTACACACTATACAGGCCTACCTATTACGTGTATCATGATAATGGCGTTGGCATGTGATCGGGAGTACAGAAACAGATTAGACATCAAGTACAACACAGCCTTGTGGTGAAACTTACTTACGGTGAGGTTACGAACCAAGCTACCTTCGGTCAACCTAGTGGGCTTCAAAGCTGGATGACTGATTGCAGATGCTCTGGACTTGACCCCTGAGATCATCGTATCTACATGAGCTCCGGAGTCCAGCCAGACCTTCTCCAATCATGTGTATTATAGAGTATAAAGAGAACCCTGCAAGAAAAAGTGAGGCTGAGACGAGGGCTCAACAACCGGAGGCAGAATGCGCCACACGAAACATGGGCCACTTCTAACAGCAAGTAGTCTTGTAAATCCAAGTCACATAATTATGTAGAGAAAATGATACGATCGGAATCCTGTAGATGCTAAAAGATCGTGATGGGCTAATTTGTTTATTTTCTTGTTTCATACATGTTTTCAAAAGTTGGTGGGGCGACTGTGATTGAACGGTGAATGCGATTTTATTGGAACCCAGAAGTAAAATGTCGAAGCAAAGCGGAATGGTCCTGGAATGAGACGCGAGCAGTTGAAATAAATGACCCCAGGGATATTAAGATAGGCTGATACACGCCTGCCTTTTTCGGGCTGGAACAACGACAGGACAGGAAGGGGAGGGAATGATCTACTTTGGGGGAGGGGGCCAAGCGACGCCCACTCCACAAACAGCGAGTACGGACGGACGGACTGCGGACTTCCCTTAGGAACTCCTTAAAGTCTGCGAAGATCTGCCGAGGGAGAGAGACACGTCATGGCCGGGGATTTTGCCGCCCGCTTCTATTCCTTCACTGTCCTTTCCTTGCCTGAGGAGGATGCAGCGAATTGCTTGTCCTGACTTCGTATGCCATCGCAGCTCGCCATGGTGATGTCGCGGACACCGGCTTTGTCCTCTTGTGTATTCAGGGTTCCAGCCCTCGAGCTCGGGCTGGAAGGTGCGTCTCTCTCGTGCCGGTCGGGTCTTCTCCGGACCTGATCCACTCCTGTCCTGCTGCTGCTGCCCTCGGCCTCGGCCTCGGCCTCCATTCTTCTTCGTTTCCTTCCTCTGTCTGCGCTCTCTCGAGTTACAGCTCCTGCTGGTCAGGACTGTAACTCGTGCACAGTTTTTCTGGTGCTTTCCTCCGTCTCCCCATCGTGACCACGGGAAGCTCAAGTCGAAGCTGAAGGTGAAGCTCCGACCCGCTTCTTCTTATTATTACTCCACACCACTCTCGTCTGTGATTCGTCTTCCGCCCGAGGTTTCGCTCTCGGAAGAATCTCCTGCCGGGGACTGCCAGAGAGATTTGCTGACGCGCTCCCTTGACTTTCTCTAAAGTCTTCTACTTTCTCCACTCCACTTTCTCTCTTCTCTCTCTCTCCTCTCTCTCTCTTCTCTCTCGATCTCATATACTTCGCAGTATATTAGCACCAACTACCGGTTGCTGGCAGAACAGTCACTCTCGTCCTCATCCTTTTCTTCTCGACAAAGCGCACTGCATTTTGTACACACAAATCTCGTCACAGCTTCTGGCATTGCACGGCCTGTTGGTTTGGTTTGGTTTGTCTTTTCTGTCAGTCAGTCTTCCGGCGACTCCAATCAGCGAAGAAACGCGAGAGTAGAGGAGAGGAGAGTGCAGGGCATGTTGTCGCCCGTCGGGCGTATCCGCTCGTCGTCACTATGAACGCCTGCTGCGCGATGTGGGGGGAGGTGAAATTTGTGGGACAGGCAAGAATGGTAGCGCTGGTGGTGGAGACGCAGGTCAGCTCGACGTCGAGCTATGTCGAAGCGCTGAATTTCTCTCTTGCCGATCCGGAGTGAAATTCAATGCCGGGACAACGAGTAGTCGGGCTGAGAATCACGTGCTCGTTCCGGAACCGTGCAACGAGTGAATGCTGGTGTTCCCAGGCGACGGGGCGGCGGAGCTGAAGCCGAAGCTTCTGAGCATTATGCTGACGGCGACGTGCTAACTAGACCAGGGAGAAAAGAATGGAGGCCGGGACGCAGGGATGGGGAGCGGTATATCAAAATCGGCCTAGAACCATCCCCTCTCCATGGGAACAAGACTCCCAGACATCGATGCCAGCAGCAGCAGCGGCCACAGGCACACCTCTCGAGTTCGCAGCACTGTCGCCGCACAGCAGCAGCACCAACGACATTAACAATTTGGGCTACGGGGGCTACCTGGACAGCGATTCGGCCTCCAGCTCGCCTCTGGAAGCTCTGTATCGCAGAACAGCCTCGCTGGGAAATCTGTACGCGTCCGGCCACTCTCCATCTCCGAGTCACGGGCATATCTCCCCTCAGGGCTCCCCGCTGGGCTTCAATGCCGATGGAACGCCGAGGAGACAATCTCTGTCTGGCCCTCTCCCCGCCGTGGGCGGCGAGTACTCATCCCTCGGATACATTCGTCGACCTTCTCTATCAGGCCCGCTCCCCAATTCATCCCCGAGCAACAATCCTTACCTCTCGCCCTCGGACGAAATGCCGCCCCTCGTCCGCACTCCTCCGCCCTGGAGCGAGTTCCACATGAAGGACCGAGCATCGGGCGGCACCAACCCGTATCTGAATCCGCAGATGTTCCATAGCCCGAGCGAGAGTGTGTCCCCGAGCGCGAGCCTCAGCCCCAGCAGTCTCCCTCGACCTCCTCTCGCTCAGAGCTACGGCGGCAGTGGCAGCCCCAGCCCGTCCAGCGCTCCGAGACCTGCCGGGGCTTTCAAGCTCAGCAATGGTGGTGCCAATGCCGCATCAGATCCCTTCTCCACCCTCTCGCCTCTCAATTCGCCAGCGGGTTCCAATTCCGGCTCGCCTAGCGTGCCCCCGCCTGGCCCGAGCAGCAATCTGTCTGAGCGCGCTCTCTCCTTCCCTTCAATGTCCGGACTGTCACTGAGCTCCGAGAATGGGACGAGCAATGGAGACACGGGCAAGAAGGCGAGCCCGAATTTGACCAGGAGCAGGAGCGCGAGCACGAATGGAGCAATGCTGAATGGGGGAAGTGGCGGGGGTGGGACGGGGAATGGAGTGCTGCCCTTCAATCCCAAGGGCGGCGGGCTGAACAGGAGCATGTCGTTCAGCGGGGCGGAAAAGGGATCCATTGCGCAGAAATACTCCAAAGGGAGGGGAGGCATGGGCGAGGGGGTGATGGATTCGCTGATTGCGCAGCTGGTGTTCGCTCAGGAGAAGCCCACAGTGCTGGCCGACATGATTTTCAGCCCGTCCAAAGGCAGCAACTCGCTGCGAGGTTCCAGAGGCCTTTTCGCGTATGCCAGAGATTTGGTCGAGCGGATTCTGCTGGCCCAAGTGCACGCCATGGCCCCCTCGTTCAAGGAGATGGCCGTGAGGCTGGGTGAGTTGGAGAAGGAGACATGGGAGGCCAATGCGCACAAGAACGAGACCGAAGGTCCGACGAGATTCCCCAACGAGGGCTACCAGCTGCTCCGCCTCCAGAACCAGTTCGTTGAGGCCGGTCTCGAGACCTTCGACATGATCTGCAGAATTCGGAAGCAATTCCCGTCTCTGCTCATGGGCGAAGATGGGTTCGCCAGCACTGGTCTTCTGCGCATCGCCTTGTTCGGCGGAGGACCAGGATGCGAGGCGCTGGGCTTGAGGTTGTTTTTCATGCGGCTCTTGCCCAACTTGCAAATGCAGGTCGACATCTTCAACCGTCGAGAGAGATGGAAGGACATCGTCGAGAGCATTTCTTTCAAAGGCATCGGCTACATGACTGTAGATTTATTCGATTTAGTGTACCACCCGACCGGGCTTCGATCCTACCGACTGCTCGTGTTTTTAGACAGCTTGGGGGATGGCGTCCAGAGGCGGACGAGCAGCAAAGGCCAGAAGTTCAACTGGGAGGAGTTTTGGAGCAACCTCTACCGCAACACCCACGCTATGGTGGTGGTGATAATTCACGAAAAGAGCTGCCCTTGGGAGGAGATGAAACCCAGGAAGGGCTCGTACTGGTGGTGTTCTGCACTGGCCGAGCAAGACCAAGTGCACGTCGCTAGAAAAATGTAATCTTGAGAGAGGAGAATTCTGTCGATCAAATTCTCGTCAGCTGTGGAGGCACATTCACGTCATTCCACCTCCGTCAGGAAGGGATTTTCTCTCTTGATGGACGAGCCGATCGAGCTTTTCCATGGACTGGCATGCAGGTCAGTCGGTTATTGCAGAGTGTAGGGGACGGTGCACCACCTGGCTGAGCTCAGATCCGCTGACGCTGTGCTGAACTTTCTTCACGCACCTGTTGCGTGCAACACGTTAATCAAGCTGTAGAGAAGGGGCACGATTCTAGGCCCGGCATCTTTCTGTTTCCTCTGTTTCATCTTCCCTCTTTCTCTGCTCTACTAGTATAGATTATTTGGGAGCGATCGCAATGTGTCATAAGTATGATAGAGTTGAGTATTTCGTCCAGCTTGATGATTGATCGACTTGGTGAAGCTTCCCTGATTGATATAAAGGCATGAATTGCCTCACGTGGTGACCTTTATTGTACAATGAGTGGAGATTGAGCGATCCAGCAGAGCAGCAGCCACAGGAGAAGTATGTACAGAAACAAGAATAAGTAGAGGCAGCCAAACATCAGCCAGCCTCGCAGAATTTTGACGCAAATTAGGAGGGTACCAGTGTATCGATATCAAATTATTGTTCCTGTAATGGATTCCAACGACATTTGCCTGTGACACTGGCTTATTAGCTGTGCTCATTTTTGGACGAAAAGACTTTCGCAGTCCTGTATCTCACTTCTCTATTCAGCATCTGGAGGAGCTTCGCTTTCCAGCTCGAGGCCCAGGCTGCTTCTTGGTCAATCTGAGTGCCAGTCCTAAATGACATTTGCCATCGCCTGTAATTAATCAGAAGATAGTCAGCCGAGAGATCTTACCATGTTAAGCTCTCTCGTCTAGCATATTTGGAGAGCAGTCTTAAGTTCGCATTGAACTGTTCGGAATCCTCCTTCATTCCAGCAACAGTACAAGGTTTGACTTTCCTGAGTTCACGCGCATTGTTGCCGGGTAACTTCAAGAATGAACAGCGTTGCCATGTCGGGTTGCAGCGAGAAGTGTACATCCTGTGGCCCATGGCGGACGCTGGATGCAAAAACATGCTCCATGGATCGGAAGTGCATTAAACTTGAGCCACTCAGTCAGGTTCCGGTGTGCTAAATCGAGAAACAAGCTTCTGCAGGCAATGATGTACGTGGAGATCAATTAGCGAAGGCTGCTTTTGTCCTCTTGTGAAATGACTGCAGACTGCACTGCGTGGGGATATTCACACATTCGTCCGGTCTAGTTTCCCCTGCCCGCTCGAGTCTCGGTGTCCGTCTTTACCACCAACATGGCCATCTCTCATGGCAACGTCGGTGAAAGTAGACCAGCTGTACGCCAGTTGAATCGATGACACCAACTGCGCGTACATCATGTGTCGTGATCATCTTTATTACGTTGAAAGGACACTACTACCTATGCACGATTCAGTAGCCTACCTACCGCAGTGAAAGGTTTACCTCCATGCTCTACTTTGAGGAGGGACCAAAGACAATGTTGTCCAGAACGCTTTCTTCTCAGAATCGACCTTCAACTTATACTTGTTGTACCCAGAGTGAATTCGACTGTCAGCTATGCCCAGATCGTACTAGACCAGCTATGACGAACGCACCACCTACTTGTAACATTCTAAGCTGCTCTTATTCTGCAACATCTGTGTTAAAGATTTCTCATAAATTTCTGACAGTAAATCGTTCGTCAGATGATCGAACTCCTTTCCTTCCTACAGGAACAAAAGAAAGTTTGATGGGTTGGAAGACTAGTCACAGGATGGATTGGACTCCGGAGACGACCTCCGTCCACCCTCATTAATGAATCGTGTACAGGAATTGTGTCTTCGACGATGTGGAGTGAGTCTCCCAGACACAGTAGACGGTGTTTTCTCCATGTGTTGGAGCAATAAATTCGGGTCTTGCTTGTCGGAACTCTCTGTTTTCCGACTCCACAGCAATGATCATGCTGTAAATCGTAAAAAATTCACTCATTTGGTTTAGTATTGGACATGTCTCAAGGCCGCTGCATTTTGATCCAGCTCATTTAGTGCTCTGTCTTTCGCCTGGTCAAGAGTCGTGCTCGAAGTGCTCTGGAAAGAATTTGAATGGCTTGTGCAAATTGCGCGGTCATCAGTTCGAGAGGCACTTGGCTTTCTTCCCATCTCGTGCAGCTGCTTTCTCGCCAAAAAGCATCTCTAGCGTCGTAGTTGCCAGACTGTCCCCCGGTTAACAGTTATTTGACATAAGCTGTTGCTCGTACAACCAAAATCTCAGTTATGGAGCTTTTGTTTCAGAAACCGACCTGACAACTGTCGGGTAGTCCTCCAACGACGCCTGCAGAGCATTCAATCTTGTCGGAGTTCTAATAGAAGAAAATGACGGCAAGGCATGATCAGCCATACGCGTGAGTATGAAGCAGTTGCGCACTGCGTCTAGTTTCCGGGGGCATCTTCACCAAATGAGAGTCCATTCAATTTCGTGGGAATCGTCTGCAACTTTGCTCCTGCTACAAGTTGCAGCTGGGAACAAAGTGGCTGCTAAGTCGACTGCTTCGTGTTCACCCAATCTCTCAAAAGTAAAAGCGGTTAGTCGAAACGTAAGTTAGTTAGTGCGGGAGGGCTTCAGGCTTCTCGTGAGGGTCACCTGCGTCTGTTTTTGGGTCATTCAGCGTGCACTGGCCCACCTTTTGGAACAGTATCACCTGCCAAATGCGTCTCATTCTCGTCACATTCAACGAACAGTACACTTGAAACTTTGTTCCTGGGCAGAAATAAACATCCTATTCTGAACTTTACAGCTCAGCCGATGCTTATCACCAGTATAACCCAGAGTACCGATGCCAGTAGATGGAGTGAATACTTATAGTGCCATCGGTCGAAGATTGTGTTTCATGCGTCGTTAACGAGAGGAGACGAGAACCAGTGGCTTATGATCGCTCGTGTCACATGAGAGACTTTAAGAAGGGATGCAGCGAGACACATGTCGTCCAAGTCTTAAAACGAGCGGCCTTTGAGCCTGACAACAGTCTAGAACCTCGGTGGACAGTCAGTTCCAACAAATAATGCTGCAAGGCTTCTTATGAAATTCGAGTCTTCATCACGTGTGAGTATGAAATCAATACACGGGCAGCTGATGGTTCAAGTGACAGTGACAAAGGTCAGAGAAAGTACATTCTAGTGAAGCACTCTGAAACTCGTACGACGAATTGAGAGTCGCCAATATAATAATGCCACTAGTACTTGCAAACCGAAAGCTCGATGATACACCCATTGTCTGCGTGGATTTCCTGCCTCTCCTCCATCCGGTGCTTATCAGACCAGACAGCAGGACAGACTTAATTATTCAGAATTTTACACACTCTGATGTCAACTAAAGTTAACCTACTAACTCACAGGGACAAGTTTTGATCTAATACTGAGCGCTGACAGCAATTTGAGGTCGTTCTTTGAAGCGTATAGAAAGTCTACGAGAAGGGCCATGGATGCGTTTCATCTTGAGTCCGGGGAGGAGGCAAAATTCGAGAGGTCTAGGCCCTGTTTCAAAACTTACGACAGAGCACACTTGTGCGCTAACGCTTAACAAGACAGGGAATCAGGATCTGCGATCGGGTTGGCCCAAAGTGGTGACGCTGAGAACGAGCAGCAGGGCCAACGGACGGGACCCACGCCTTCTCATCCAGACCGGGCGAGCCGCCATGAAGCGTGCAATGATCGCCGAGCACTTCAATAAAGACGAAACGGGTTCCGAAAAAGGCAGCAGAGCTGGTCTGTAGTAGGCTGTTTGATAGTCTCGTAGTCTCGAATCCACAGTGAAGTACAGTACAGCAGGCTACAATTGCACAGACTGAGGGCATGAGAAATCCGATGGCTGCGAGCGAGGGACCGACTTGTCTGAACTCCTTTCACGCCCGGAAGGACAAAACCATCAGCTCAGAAAACACACTTTCACCTTGGACTCGGCCGCAAAGCCGAAGTTCAAGCCAGGTAAGCAGGCAATGCAGAAGCACTCGAGTCGCAGAAGGACATAAATGGAAAGTGGAGTGTATACAGTGAGGAGTTTGTACTTCGTCCCCTGATCAAAGCAGAGAGAGAGCGAGCCAGCCAGCCTACAAACATCTGACCGAGTTTGACCCACTGGTACTCGCCCAACCATTCCAAGAGCTGTCACCTTGGGAAGACAGTTGACAGGCTACCCCTCACAGTCGAAGTTGAGATTTATCAGAACAAAATAGGAGTTTCATATTAAGAAGCTCTGTAAGACAAAATGGAGAATTTGATGCAGGTCAGGTTATACATATATGAAATATTATGGGACGATAATATACATTTCTCGGACAGATTTTTCGATATTGTTGAAAGCTATTACTAACATTCAACGATATAAGACTAATCATGCTGCACCCATGGGCATTGTTCTGGTCGCACAAAATGAAATTGTGGATCATCTGCTTCCTGCATTACAATAGAATTGCAGTCTACGGATACGCAGTGGACAGAACTAGTTACAGAGTGGTCTCATCGAGAATTGCTCTTCCGACGTGTTCCCACGTTAGGTCGTCCTCAGTTTTCTCTCTTCAGCATCAGCATCATCGGAATTCAACCTCACGAATGCAACAAAAAACTTCTCTTACAAATGCTCCGGCGATGACCAGTCAGAAGTACACGAACGGGTGGGCATTACCGATTTAGCACGAGAAGAATTCGAGTCGCAGTATATGGGAAACTACGAGACGTCAGATCGAGTTTGTTCGATCTCCCGAAGCAGACAGATGGAACCAGCCTAAGTTGCTGCTATCCAGACGTATCGACAAAACGCACGAAGTCTCGGCCTCGTCGTGGGCGGCTCCAGTTCCCCAAAAGCGATGATGCCTCCTGATGGTCCAGCAGCAGCAGCAGCAGCAGCCGCATCAGCTGCAGTCGTACTCACGACGTCTGCCCACGGTCCCCTCACCTTCCAGCAGACATACATACATACATACAATACAATACAATACATTCCCGATATACGGATCTGCGTACAATTCGAGACATGTACACGGCCGGGCTTCGGTGGCATACGCACTCTCGTCCTCTGCTGGCATTAGAAAGATCTCTGTCCCGGGCGCTTCTTCCGAGCTCGGACAGGACCGAGCCTTGGGATTGCCGAGTGACCTTTTTGTCCCCGTATTGAGATTCCTTCCCTCAACCTTTCTTTAGAGCTGGTCTTCCGCTGGAGGGGCGGGACATGGCGGGGCGCAAGTCCTGGATTCAGTTCCTTGTCCGCTGCAGATTCGCCTCTGCAGGCCGCAATCGTTCGAACATCTGCGGGCCTCCAGGGCTGCGGGCCAGTGGCAAGACCCGCAGCAGCTGACCTCGGTCAGTCTCTGTTTATCGGCGCCCGCCTCATAAAACGGGAAGTATCCCTGTGGGTGGTGATGGTGGTGGTGGTGGTGGTCAGACCCAGAGACAGCATTAGCAGATCAGGATAACCCATGATTTACTGCCCTCGGTTTCTCTTACCGCGAGGAGAATCGGGCCACAAGATGCCGGGTCGATCGATTCGACGACATTGGCCGAAATTTTATCTAGATTTATGACACATGGCATTCATTGGTGGACGACGCCATGCGCAGAAGATTCACAGTCAGCGTTGCTGTAGAATTGTGCGTTTCGATTTCGCGCCTGAACTCGCATCCCTACTCCACTACCCCCGACTGCTTTCATCTCAATCATCAGCCAGCTCTAGGGCGAGTGAAGTTTGAGAACAAAGTCCTCGCATCTCATCATGCCTGGCGGGCGACCCCCATCGCTGATGCATGAAAGCGGGGAAGATGTCAACTCCAAGCGAAAAGTCGAGCTGACGCACTCTTCCTCAATTATTGTCGAATGGACAGTAGCCTAATCTGAGCTCTCTTCTCTTTCTTGATTTTGGGCTGCCCTCCTCATCATCCTTATCGGATGAAATATTTTTACTGCACTGCACAAATTTTTCCTTGCCACAGGAACAGATCTCGCTGTCCCGTGGTCGAGATATATCACGGACCTTGTAGCGCTACATTTTTTAGGCGAAAGCCCTTTTTATGAATGAATTAATTATTGCCTGTATCTGAGAAGGTTGCTAACTCTGCTTGCTGTTTTAAGCTTCATTTTTCTTGCTCGTTCTCGACTGGACACAATCTCTTCGGGTAGCATGTACATGTGGTTGGAGAATTAAGGTTGTTCGTCCACTGGTTTCATGAAGATTGATCACATGAAGAGCGATGATGACCTTGCCGTGGTGAATGAGTGCGTAGAGTCCTTAACCTTAAATTTAGATTTGATTCCTCTACGTCGTCCACATGAGAAGAATCAATCAATCAATCACCGGCACAACTTCTTATATTATCTTCCTCGCTTTCTAGCCACTCTCTACTTGGTTGGAACTCATACTACGGACACTCTAACTTCTACTCTTCAATCGCGACAAAGTATAAACAATTCCAGCAGAAAGAAATAGTACAAGAATATCATTATGGTTCCAGCTCAAAAATCTTGTGAATCAACAAATCACCTGGCCGGGTAGATTCATCTGCAAATCATTCATTCGGAGATAGAAGATAACCGAGAAACATGGACGGGTGATGACTTTGTTCAACTTCAAACATCAGCTTTTGGAAATTTCGATACACTCACTGATCAGCGTAAGTCAACTTTAGCGCCACATATACGTACATACATACATACCGGTGCTCGGACCGATGAAAGATCCTTCACGATTCGGTTGTATCCAGCTGCACCGTGATCTGAGCCTATTGTCTCCAAGTACGGGACAAGGGATTACTTTGACACCACCTTCTACAGCTCCTTAATCCAGTCCACCTCACTTTAGCAACTCCATGCTTAATTTGGATTAATGGTCGTTTCCTGGTCCGGCTCCCGCCTCCTACTGCCAACTACAGGGAATGTAGCCTTTGTACTCGGGCAGTTCAACGCGTTGTTAGATCTCGTCGTAGTCATCTGATGAACTTGATGAGGACGGTAAGAGGTGGTCATTGAGGTGAAATGGAAGGGACAGTCCCACTCAAATCAAGTTGCAGGCGATATAAGTAATTGCCTGTGATGATCCCGATTGCGAAAGAGAGCTTCGCGTCACCGATGCTAGAGAGTCTTAGGGAGTGCTCTAGGTGAGGAGTCTAGATCTGGACCGACGGAGAAGTGCTCTGGTATGTGTCAGTGAATGCTTGCCCACCAAAGGGTGGCGACAGGTTTGGGCTCTGGTCAAGGTATGGATTCTGTAGTTTGGAGATTGGGAAGTTTGACTAAAGATGAGAGCGGAAAGTGGTTCGCTGCAGTCTGTTCCGACGACGACGAAGCTCTGCAGCAGGTGAAAAGCACACGCTCCTTTCCATTCCATTGATTTTAAGTGGACGATCTGGTGTCTTGAGCCTCAATGAGGAACGCCTGGCTGGATACCAGTCATTGATCATGTCCTTCTTCTGCTCATTACTTTGTCTTCGTAAGAGTGACATTCAGCTGGAAGTGGATTCACAGGCATTTGCTAGTTGACCTCAATACTTCTTCAGGAGTGAACATTGTCAATGCGGCTCGTGACGTATGCAGTTCTTCGATATTTTGGGCAAGCATGGGATCACCAGACAGACTTGTTCTATGTTCTTTTTAGCAGGGTCAAATTTGTCCATCGCAACAATGTCAAAATTCCTTGTTTCTGACAAGTGTCCATTTGCGGAGCAGCATAAGTTATAATGTAAGCTGGGGCTTACATTAATTCAGCAGCGTTGGCCCAATGAAACGGAAAACTGAATTGCTGATCGTCCATCTTGAATTTATCTAGTTTCGAAGAGTCCGTGTTATAACTAATGAAGTTGTTTTGGATCTACTTAGAACATTGAGTCGGAGTGGAACCGAAATCTTTTCATCGACTGTACTTGGAGCTGGTCTGTGTACATATTAGATCGGGTTTGAGAAAGTCATCTCGAATTTTCACTTGCAAGTATGTTCTGGTGAGCTCAGACAACCTGTGAAAGTCATGTGAATTTATAATAATCCTTGAGAGACCGAATGCCCTTGGAAACGAATTCGAATTTGAAAGGACTGTGCGGACTCTTCATTAGGTACTGCATATATGAAAAAATCTCATGCTGTCAATCTGTATCGACTTTGAACTTTTTACCAATCTTTCCATGCACGAACCTTATCAATTTTGTCTTTCCACAATTGGTTCGAGCTTGGGGTACGAAATTGTCTACAGGGTCCATGAATGCCTGTAAGGGATAAGCATTTTGCTTACAGCTACTCAAATTTCTCCCCAGTTCGTCTATTACAAATCATTTTATCACGTTTGGCCATAAAACGTTTGGATTCCATTGTTAAAAACAACGGCCACTCCCGAAACTACTCTATAAGTGGTCATGTCCGTGAAATGCCGTTATCTGAAGACATACATTTATATCCGCATATGGAGAGTTCTCTATGTGAATATGTTTTTTATTATAAAAATTGTATGGAACATGCTGATATAATTGTCCTGTGCTTGCAGATGCCATCAGAGTAGACTTTTATATATTCTTTGTCGCTATGAACTCTTGGATAAACGCACTACTCAATCGACTAAGCTAAGAGGAGTTTTGATGATGATACAGTAGCCTCAATATTTGAGCTTCCACTGCGGATCCTTGAGCTTATTACGCTTGGATGGATGGTCTCGAGGAAAGACTGTGAACAGTAATCAGTAACTATCCTGTAACTGATCTTCTTATGGGATTGGTGACCTGACGCCTGATATCATACGTGCTCTGGTTTTCAGTTTAGATACCGTTAATGTCTGCTATATATTCTTCTATATGAACCCTTGTCACACTAAATGTGCTTCGCAGAATCATGGCTCCCTATCTCCCACTTGCGTACATTAGAGACTCGTAAATATGCTCATTTGGATTCGAGGTCACTTTGAGCTGTACGTCTAAGCAGAAAGCTTCTAAGACGATCTAGACTGAAGAAGGTCTGAAACCTGCTCAGCATCGGTGCAGACTCCTCATCCTCACTTCCAATCGTCTTTATGATGTGATTACAGAACAGTACATGTTCCCTAATCATGGCACATGTTTGCTTGCTGCGTGGTGAATGTGGATAGCCTGTAAATTTTCATAGAACGCCTTTTTGTATCTCGAACTAAACTTTGTTGGAGATTTCCCACTTTTTGTGCACTCATTTATGAAGGCCGTAAGACCTGCAAGTACAAAAGAGTATTAGCTGTGGGCCTAGTTATCGACGATATTGTGAAATAGTAGACACACCATATGCATTGATAGCTTGGTAGCGTTGGAATGCTTGATGCAAGATATGGTAGCGCTGGAAGATATGGAATGCTTATTAACCAAGCATAACCATAAGTTCAGGAGAATCACGTAGCCAATTAGTTTCTATCTTTCCGCTACCTCCAACGATCCAGTGGCTTCATAGCGTTAATTAACACTAGCAGCACCATCACATAGCTGTATACATCTGAATTGTTCTGTGATTTGCAATTATTGCCCATATCAATCAGCGCCTCAACTTCAAACACATCGTTGAACTTAACATGAACTTACAAGGTAGTATGAAGTACCTCCCTAAATGACGTGAATCGACGCACAATGATGGGTTAGCTTCGCGAAAGATTTGGAGAAGAATGAACGACAGGAGCTTTTCTATATTTCTTCCTTTGTTCTCCCAGCAGCCGGATTGCAGGAAGAAAAACCTTCACGCCAGAATCATGTGAGTACAAAATTCGAGTTTGAGATATGTCATGAGACCAGGACCATAATCTTATGGATATATATATCTCAAATGCTGGCCCACACGCTGTAGTCTAGCCGTCAGAGGGTTTTGTCATTCCAGATTACATGAAAAGTTTCTCCATTCACGGGATCAATCCTAACCCCCTTCCAAACTTGGAAATATACCACGGTAGTATCGCGTGTTTACTCTAATCTAGTAAAAGTGTCCATCACGGAGTTTGAAAACGCAAATATGTTCATACACTGTCAGACAATTCTTTCCTAGATGATAGTCAGAATGTGATCGTGTTAAGTATTGTTTATGGTGATGATAATTTTGAAGCTAATTTTACAGGAAATCATAAATTGCCTACATTATATCCAGACCACTACACAACTTTAGTTTAATAGCAAAAATCAAAAAATTTTACCTCTTTTTTATTTGACTTTATGTTGGTTAGAAATATTACCTAAATTATCATTTTTAGTTTATTATTATATAATATTTTATCATTTAAAAATGATATAATTATCTAACGAACAGCACTTGATTATATACTAAATAAATGTATACATTTATTATTTTAGATAGATACATTATACATTTATTTATTATATAATCAAGTGCTGTTCGTTAGATAATTATATTATCTTTAGTTTAGTCCAATAATTTTTAGATACATTATACAACATCTAATTTTATTATAGATAATAATGTTAAGATTTAAAGTTAGCTTTGTAAGTTTAAGTACTAAAACGTTATCTTTGTATTACAACGTGTAGTCATCACCTTGTAAGTAATCCACCGCTTGCAGAATATACTTTGCTGAAAGAAACATTTTATTATGTTTGTTTTCTATGTGTAGAAAAACATAAAGAATTTATGACCTAGGTATTTATAATATGTTAAAGTTCAAAAGCACAAGAAGTTTAAAGCCGATTTGTAGATAATCATCCTAGTTATAAGAAGTAGTCAAATCAACTCTATCATATTATAAGTGAAAAATTATCACAACGACTGAATCATCATATTTCTAAGTATTATGTTTTCAATTTATCCAAGTTATATGTATTTGAAAGACAAATAATCAATCTACAGAAATTATTTCTTACAAATGTCGGTTGAATCCAATGTAAAAATTACAAGGTACGTGAATATGGTAATTCATGCCAAGAATACACTTCAATTTGCAAAAAATTATATTGATATACACGTATTGGCTGCACTACAAGATATAATGATCAAAACTGTCACTATAGACTTTGGACTTAATCAAAACTGAATGTGATCAACTACATTGCTCACCGAGTTTTTTTGCTCTTTAGCTGTCATGATTTGGGGTCTAGACGGCTTGTTGCACATTCCTGTTTGCAATGTTAAGCTTGTAAACTGCTGATGTCAATATCAAAATAATTCCAAAGTCCTTGTATATTGATCATTTTCATTGAAACATGTGTAATTTTATATCAGCATCAAATATTTTTTAGCATTGATTTGACGATAATGACAAGTTGACATGAATCTGATCGATCATATAGTCTCTTAATATCTTTTACAAAACTTTACTTGCTTCTAATGTAGCAGATGAGCTAATGAATACTTTATCACTGTTTGCTCAAGTCTCTGATCGGCAGGAAAGATAATTCAGATAGGCTTTCAGTGATTTTCTGCTACCTTTGAGTCAATACCAGTGCCGCATATTTCTTTTGGCAGAAATAGAAGACCTTGATCATTAGAGCTGAGGCTCCAAATCACCTTCAAAGTTTAATGCCTTGTGCACGACCAGGTGATACCATTATAACAGCTGTGCAGGCCTCACTCCACCTGGGACCTGCAATCGGTCATCCTTGGTCTCCTGTAGATGATGTGATGAATTAAATTCCCAAGGAGCACGAACAGACAGCAACAAAGATCTCCTTCGAACAAGTGCTTGATTGTGCAGTCATTGCTAGCCCACTTTTGCTCCCACACAAAATTTTAGGCTCATGAGGGCGTTACAATCCAAGCCTCGTACGAACAGCCTCCCATATACCAAACTGAGTTTCATGTGCTATATCTCCACTCATCCATCTTCACACGTCCAGAGCAAATCATACTTCGATGGCAAAGTCAGCATCGGAGTAGTCATTCGTCAGCCTCGTATCTGACTACGGTGTGAAGAAGCGTTTGGGTTTTCCGGATCAACCTCAATGCACTGGATAGTGTTTGCATCACAAGCTCACATTGCGGTAGAAGAGTCGAACGACAACACCTCGAGTCTAGCCAAGAAATAGAGCTTTATCCACGTGTGCTTCTTGCACTAATTTGTACACAGTAGAGTGCTTGTGCACAAACTCGTATGGGTAATTACCAGTTGGCACGTGGTTTTGAAGGATGCTGCTGATCACTTGTTTTGGATGACATTCGGTTTCTTGAGTGGCAGTTAGCCACGGGGGACAATCATCATCGCCGAGCACATGATTGTAATCGGCCATAGTGGTATGACACTCTTTAGCTTGAGGTGTATGATTGTTTCCCCTGCTGTGGACTATGTTTTCGGGGTCCCACTCCGAATGCGAAGAATCTATTGCTATGATCTTTGAACGATTGAATTTCAGTCCTTGCTGCTTGCTTGGAAGATGTTTTGTGTGTTGCAACTGATGAGATCCCACTATATAATGTCTGATTATGACGCTCAAGGCGCGTAAACTGCTGCGGTTTGACCTTACAAAACCTGACACAACTTGACCTTACAGTAATTCTCGGCAAAGCGAGTTGTTCGCATTACAGACATGAAGGATAGTATGAACGATGTCGAGAATTGACATATGATTCAAAGCCCGGCAGAGTTTCTGCTTTTCAACACGTTATTCAAGTTATGCTACAACGTTCATGCGCAGTTTGGTCAGCTCTCATGGTCCATGTTAGACCTGCATACTGTGTCCGTGCAATGTGGTAAATGCTGCGACTGGTGATAACGACTGTAGAGCTGGGTCTGACTTTTTTAAAATACGCATTGTGCCATGATATGTAGTACAACAGATGTATTTTAGCTCTTCAATGCGCTGGATCTAAGGATTGCATGCATTACGGTTTACATTCAAGCAGTTCTCTAGATCTTTGCATGCAATATACCTTATAACAGTAACTTTCTAACCAAAAATGGAAGGAAAAGATGTGAAGTCAAAACTGATGCAGTAGAAATGTGAAAATCTTCGGAGAAAAATCTTATCAAGGAGTCCGTTCAATTGAACTGATTACATACAACGTCCAATATGTACCGATAAGGGTTAATATATCTTTGGCTCAGATGTGTTGGCCCTTATCGTGAAAGGTGGAAATATAATACCATAGCCAGCCTGTTATGCAGTATTGTGATTGCAGTACATCAATTCTTTGGAAAAATGATAACACAACTTTATTTAAAACCTAGAGTTTTTCTTAATCCCGAGGTTGCAGCTGCTGTAGCTTTCAATCAGTATTCATTAATCCTTGTAGCACTCTGTGCTGTAAATTTCTTAATTCACTTATTATCTTTAAATTTGTGAAACTACATCCTGAAATCTGCATTCGTCAGTCATATATATTGCGCTAAAAGTAAATCAGTTATTAAATCTAATTAGATTAAAATCAGATTGGCCCATCTGATGCCACAGAAATTGTCGAAGAATATGTGAGTTGACAAACTCTGTCAAAGAAGAATCGCTCTAGAACGATTGTGAAAGCTTGTACTGGTCATTCAAGTCGATGAGCACAGGTGCTCCAATACATACCGAAGTAGCCGAATCCCTCTCATCTTCAAATAAAAAATACTACCAGTCTAACTATGAACGAGATTCTCCTTGACGTTCTAAACTTCAAGATCAACTCGTTGCATTGGAGAAGAAAACTGCCATCTTTTTTCTTACGGTTCTTGAGCCGACTTGTAAGATCATCTTCTTATGGGGTTGTCACCTTCATGATCTAGAAGCACAAAAAGCCCATGAAGAGAGTGACTGAAACCGTGAACGTATAGAAGGAGGACATTGTATAACCTCTCCAAATTTCGAGCCAGAACATCACCATGTCGAAGAGCTGTAAAGAGAAACTTCGTGCCAAGAATCTCCAGTAGTGCTTAACCACGTTGGGCTGCCATGAGCCTTTACTAGCGTTTGTGTGGAAGAACCATAAGAAAATGTCCGAAGCCACGAGAACGAAACCCACGAATGTTTTGAAGTAGCTCGTCTTTGCAAGCTCTTGGCTCGAACACAGCTTGATCAACAAATGTTACAGCGGACTCTTTTGACAGACGTCTCGCCATTGTGCAGGTTTATGTGAACAAGGATATGTCAGGACTGTTCGACTGTATACAATGGCAAACTCAATTAAAATGTTATCTTATTACTTCATTTATCTTTTTGAGACAGCTACAAGGCGATAATAGTTTCTGT